CTCGACGCTCTCCCCATCATTCGAACCTGCAATCTTCTGCTCCGTAGGCAGACGCGTTATCCATTGCGCCACTTTTCGAACTTGGTGTTCATTCAGTTATAATGTTGTAGTTTTAGAAAGCATCACTATCGATCCAATTTATCTGTGGATGAAATGTGAAATTAAGATTTGATGAGCCATGTTTTCTAGATCGAACTACGCCAAACTTTATGCGTTATGTGGCTTCGCTTTGCAGTTTAACTTGATATTGAGGTAATTGAATACCAGTCTGATTGATCTATATAGTTCAGTATGTTCACTCTCCGTTAGCATTTCAATGCCATTTATTCTACCCAGGTTTTTATGGCTCTAATTTATAACACTCGGGAGTGTATTGTTGACCTCAGGAGGATGAAGTGAATGGTAGACCTGGAGTAGGCCGCAAACTTGGTTTGGGTGTGCGTATCATTGTGGCACGTCCGCCGTTGAGTCACTCTGCCCTCCAAGGCTATTTTTAAATGGAAAAAAGAAATTGGTTATAGTGTTTCGTTTGTTTGCTTGTTTTCTTGCAAATCGTGTGATTTGTTTACTTGTTTGTTGTGATTTCTGTCCATATTTCAGTCTATATTTATAAGATTCGTTGATTCTCATCGCTTTACTGATAAACGCTTAACGTAAATAAAAACATCGTCGAAAAATGTTTACATTTTTACTCGTAAAATTTCTTTTCATTTTTCAACTTGGAAACATTCCAATATGACAGATTTATTCAAAAATCAAATAGTTTCTTAACAACGATAAGCTAAACGAAGAAATAAAACAGTTTGACAATGTTATAAAAATTTTTAGCAGTTTGTTATAAAAATATTAAGGTCAACAATATTTTAACCTCACTACCTCGTAAGTTTTAGAACCCTATGAATAAAAAACTAATGTATTAATTTTCATTTTCCTTTTTCTAGCTAACTGTAAAATAATACAAAACGCAATAAATGTGATCTTTTTTAGAATGACGTCATCGCGCTACAATGCGCATTCAATAGAGTGCAACAAAAAAGTAGAGGAGGTTCAGAATATCGATCGAAATTCGGTGATGTTCGAGGAATACCGATAATGTCGAAGGTTCGGTTAAAGATTTTTGACGATTTATAAGCTTGAAAGATAAAGTTTGACAATAAAAGTAAATTGATGAGTTCTAGTACATTTTCGTGTGAATTTTCTTACGGGTATTGATTTTTTTCCTAATGCAAATACCGTAAATAAATGATGTTAACTTTGTGATATTTTTTTGATATACAAAAAAGTGATGATGGTATAAAAAACATAAATTTACAGCAAGAAACTCAATAACAAAGTAAACAAAGACCTCTGTCTCAAATGAGGCGACCTCTTTGCCTCATTGAATTCTAATTTAAAAAAATATATGATGATCGAAAAATATAAATTATTTATGTAATTAGAAACACTAAACAACAACAACTAATCTAACAGTGTTGATACTTGTTGAAATCGATAGAATGTTTTAATCTGAAAGAAAAATTTCAGTAATAGATCGACCGGAAAAAGCAACAAAACAAATGAGGGAGGAAATCGATTGATGTTATTGATCGTTTTATTGTGTTGGAGCACTAGCAAGGCACGTAGCAAGCAACACATAAACGGACGATTTCACTGAAAACAAAAAACAACAATGAACTTATTCGTTTCGCTTCCCACCACCACCAAATGCCAGCAGTAGTGGATTGTTGTAGGTCAACAGTACAGCAACACTCGTTTATATCCAAACACTCCATTCTGCAGGTTCGTCTACAGTTTCAGAATTCTATAAATAGACGAATAGACATCTCATCATTTTCTCAGTGATGTCATTTTTGCATAGATTTTTATTTGTAAACTTTTCTATTATAATTTTTACATTTAAGAATGAAATCTATAGAAAATTCATAGATTCAATTTGATTGGTGAATTTCAAGCTAGTGGGTATGGTAATAATGGAGGAGAATGATAAGTTCTAAGGTCCATTTGATCTCTATTTCTTGGAAGTGAAATTGAGTGGGATGAGTTCAGGCTTCGTGCAGTCTGGACTTACGAACTTCTCCACCTAAACCTTAAATAAAGATTAAGGCTTATGCCTGGGCTCGCGCATGATCCTTAAATCCAAAGATATCATAACTTATACATTAGCCTCTGTATTCAAATGAGATAGATGATAAATAAATTCAAGAGATAAAAAGTGACCTTCAACTTGGATAATTTAGTTTCTGTTTTACGATCGTCGCGGTCCGATCTCGTTACCACTTTAGTTGTTACTTCTGACGTTGCACGCTCTTTCGTAAATCCATCCATTTTCTGTTGTAACGAAGCTTTCTAAAAGTATAAGATAAGCTTTGCGTTTACGCATACGTATCCAATGTTATAATGAGGAGGTGATTGAGTGTGAGTCTAGTCTGCATAGTAATTTTAAGTTGACAACTTTTTACCAACTAAGTGTTATTTTTTTTTTAAATCCAGATTTCTCTGATACCAATTTACCGACTACAGATAGACTTAAAGGAGGCAACGATTTCGATTCAGGCTTGAGTATCACTGTTGCCCTAATTTTTCTATTCAGAACTTCATAGCTTAATACTCAGTCGTCAATAATAACCCATATAAAAGCATTCCTTAGCATAAGATGTTCTATAACAGTAATAATATAATAATAATAAATAGTAATGATGGCTCAAAAGAAAACTTGGAAGAAATCAGTAGAGAATCATCCGCTACCACATTCTTCAATAATAATTATTTCGATAAGAGCTATTCGAAAGCACTTTTAAAGATAAAAGAAACATTGTTTATTGTAAAAATTCCATTTACGCGAACGACGTGATAGTTACGTGACGAGGACGACGGTGATGGTGAACTGCTTGAACGACTAGAACTGCTTGAGGAGTTTTGAAGAAACGAATGCCTCGAATTCGTAGTGCTAGCAAACTGACGATTCGTAGACTTTTCCGATTCTACTGGGAATAGGCTAGACATATTTGAGCTTTTAGCTGTTTCATTTTTAGTCGATCCAGATGTGTTTTCCGACGTCACTGAAACAGTACTTGTTGTTACTTTTGAGGTGGCCCTCACGATCGGCTAGTTAACAGTACCGTAACACATATAGGTTACTCACCGATTGATTTCGCTTCCAGTTTATACCAAATCGGATTCCGTTGCTTCCAGTTGTGATCGCGTAAAGCAATTGATATCTTGAAATGAGAAGAAAAAAATTGAGGCCAAAATGTATTATCCATGTATATTGAGCATAAATAATTCAAATACCTCTCCTATAAGAGAGTTCTGACTAATGAGATCTCTATGCCATACAGACACTACCATTCGATACTCGTCTACCTCAATTTTAGTTATTCGAGTGAACTGAAAATAGTAGAATTTCCTCAATTTCTATTCCCAAAGGTACTTAATCAATTCAGAAAAGTGTTAACGTTGATCGTTTTCAACCTCAGTTCCATCTTCATTTTCAAAAAATCCTGATCATCCCAACAGTGTTGAGCTTGTGCCTTGTTATACATGACTGTTTAGAAACGTTAATCGATATTGGTCGATATGTATAATTTATATGAGGGATAAACTCTTCTTATTAGCATTTCATAAGTGTAACTGAGACGAAAATGTATTCACCTCAAGGATTTGATCAAAAATCGGATTGGTGTCGGATTTTCGAGCAGCTGTTTTTTTCCATAGTACCGGACCTCCAACATGGAATGGAACAAGTACAACCTAAATTCAAATCAACATAATCAGTATTTCAAAAATGTTTGATATAATAACTCCCGAGCAAAATACTGAGCATGTAAAATCTTAGCTATTCATCTGTAAAACGATCAATTTCTACAAAATGCATGGTCAGACTTCATAATGCCAACCCACTAAGAAGAGGAGTAGGTTAATTGTTTTGATCTACGTCTATGAGATGTTGCACGCATTTGATATCATCATGACGTCCTTGAGGTTATTGAGTGCGAAGTCAGTTTATATACTTACATAAAGTGACCAATCTTTATCACCTTGATGATTGTTATTCCTCCATATCGATTTGGTACCAATTCAATCACTTCTTCTTCAAGGGAATGAAATGCTCCATATGCTTATATATTTATTACGACCGTCCCTTACGACAATCCGACTCGTCTTTCCACCTTGTTACGAGGCCTCATTTATCGATCATATTCCAACAGGTCGACTTTTTGTCGATAGATCACATTTTATTTAGATACATGAATATATTACGAAATTTTAAAACCATTAAGAAAATTTCTTGCGTCGAAAACTTTTTATGACAGCAATCGATTGGTTATAAACAAACCGAGATAGTAAATAAGAAATTGGCTCAGGCAAGTTTGAGTTTCTTTGATATAGAACATTTTAGAACGGAGACCATTCGAAAATTTCAGATCGGAGCTTTTATTGATCATTTTGCGTTTATTGATCGTTTATTTTTATCATTTTGCCGTAGAGATTGGGCTTATGACTCCAATGGTAGGTAACGAGTTACGAAATAATACCAAAATGAACTCTCTATGACTCACTTTGACGTATGGATTGGGCTTTTGACTCCCGAAATACGGCAACGCTTTACATTGTAGAATTTTCACTACTAAACAAGCTGAATTAATATTATAGTTGATTGCCAGCTGTATTTGTCCCAAGTTTGAAATCGAATCGGTTCCTTCTAACTGAAATATACTTGTCATTCTACGAAAAGTCTTTTATGTTATAAAAATTAATTGTTTTTATTTCACTGTGTTTTACACCTGTAGTTTTTCCAACGCCTACTTTTTGCGCAAAAACAAAACATGTTCGATTTCGAAATAGCTTTAGAATTTAGGAAACGGCCAGGTGGTTTTTCTTTTGGAAAGTTATCGTTTTTCAAAAAACATTGTGGAAGAAGTTCTCATAACACTGTCGTAAGACATAAGCTTTTGTGTTGATCAATCCCTTGAGGCTCGATGCGCCTACGGATTTGTGTTCAACGTGCCGTCGTAGACTTGGTTAAATGCGAGCCTCATCTATATTGTTACTCGAGTTAACCATTCTTCATCAAGTCAGTG